CCCTTCCTGGAGGTGCGATTCTGTCTTATCTGCTAATCAACTCACACATATGCGGGAAAGTTTCTTGCATTGCTGGCCACATGTACTATATTGATGCTACAGTGTCACATGTTGACGCTTCTTTTTTGCAAGGTGATGAGAGGGTGAGCGGGATTGATGTATTTTTATAGGCTGGTCACTGCCGATTGATTTGAGAAATCGTTGACCTAATCAAAATCATGAACCAAATCCAAAATTGGACACCTCAATCGAATGAGAGAACTCCTTAAGAAATCGTTGACCCGTCAAAATCGTTAACCAAATCCGAAATTGAACACCACAATTAAATGAGAGGTCTCCAAAATTAGGGGGTGCTGTTGAAGAATAAATTAGGATGACTGTTGAAGAATGATGTTACACATGGATGATGTATATCCATGCTCAGAAGAAGAGTGCTGTTATATAGATTGATTTATATCAGCTTTATGAATGTTGTGGCATTTGTTTGTATATTTTGCATGCACCACATGCTTTGAAAAATAGATCATTTGTGTGAATAGCTTCATTTGCATAAACCATGTATTTATTTGACAGAAATGCTATTATATTGTGTATTTGTGTTATCACTTACATAATTTTTCTTGTTTCACTAAAAACGTCCGCATGGCTGATGTTTCAAGTACAAATCAATGTATCGTGTTTCCCCTGGCACTAGCATTGGGATGCCTTGCCTCATGGAGACATGGACAGCAGCATAGGGCAATACCTGTTATAAGTAAAATAGGCTGTACTATGTGGGTGGATGTGCCCTACCGTGTCTTATGTGGGGGACTACACTAAAAATATTTTATCTGCCAAACCGTTAACCCAATTGATGATCTGCTTTCACCATGGCTTCATTGCCATGAGACTTTTGAAATTGGAATCCATGTCGATATGTTTCGACTACTTTTTTTTTTCATCTGTAGCTACCAGATTTGTTTCACTTATAAGATTTATAATAATTACGTTATCTGATTACGTTATCTAGTAACTAGCAGAAAAGACCTGGTAACTCAGCATTAAATAATCTGGTAACTCAGCATAAACAATCTGGCAAACACGTACTATTAATCTGGCAACTGGTGATGCAATTTTTTGGTGGAACATGGGAATTCTTTCCTACTTAGTAAGGTTGGAGTTGGGGCTGAGTTCACATGTGGGACTAACAACCTTCACCAATAAACAAATACACCCCTACCACATGTGGGACTAGTAACCTTCCAAGAGACATAAGTAAACAATGTACTTTTACTCACATGTGAGACCTAACACAAATGAACAAGTGTACTATTACTTTTATGTGATACCAACACTTATAGAAGGCACAAATAACAAATGCAGAAATGCAACTTCAACTCAAAATTATGCTCTTGTTTGCAGTTTCTCTTGCCAACCAAGTTCTTTTATTCTATATCACAGAACAAGAGAGTGAACAAATAGTAATTCCAAAGAAACGGTAGACCTTGTCCTTCTACCTGATCTACAACCTTGTGCAGTCAACTTACTAATGCCCATTCTCATATGTTTCAGCATTTGAAATGTTGTGTCTTGCAAAGGGTCTACTATGATCTCTTAAGATTCTCCAATGCCTGCCGCGTGATCTTTTGTTGTATTTTTGCACTTTTTAATCGTGAACCGCGTGCAAATGCCGCGGATAACAACATATTTGACGACCTCCTAAGCCAGCGATGCAACTCCTTGTATTTTTTAGTTTCGTAGCAACACACGTGCATTGTGCTAATAATGTTAATGATCTCAGCATGTGGTGAAGATTCTTTGCTTGCATGCATGATGTGCTTTCTCCATAGGGGAGGAGCACCATGTACAGTTCACTCCTTCCTTGCAGTTAGCTCTTATAGTATTATTAGCAGTTAGCGTGTTCTGTAGTAGTTTGGGCCAAAAAATCCAGGCAGTTTGCAGCTTCAGTACTGGCACCTGTTCCATATTAGTCCGGGCTAAAAAACAAATGACGTCCTCGCAGTTAGCGTGCTCATCACTTGATAGTTGGCTATTTCAGTCGGAGAGTTAGCATGCTACTTTTTGCATTTCGGGCAAAAAACGGACGAATGTTGTTAGTATTTTCAAAACTGCTCCATAGGGAATTTGGAAAAGTGTTCTACATGAAAAGTGAGGCTAATCAATATCTTTCAGTGATATATCATTTGCCACATTCCGTCAAATGGTTTGAAATTTCCATTCAAAATACGTTGAATGTTGATTTATGTAAGTTTTGTCATTTGAAAATTGCTCTTAAAACTGTGTGGATTTTGGGAAAATGTTCAAGATGAAAAAGTTTTTCCTCATCAGCAACTTTCCAACGTTATATCACTTGCATCATTTCGATAAACGATTTGGAAGTTGCAGCCAAAAAATAGTGCCAGAGAAAGTTTGAGGGCAGTTAGCAAGAAAAGAACGTGCAGTTAGCTTTTTGTTGTTTCCAGCAGTTATGAAAAGGTTGCAGAATAGTTATTCTACAGAATAGCTATACTCCTGTTGTAGTATGTACTTCCACATTCAGTATATACCTCTTAAAAAACCTATTATACCTCTTTATCATTCTCAATATACCTTATTCATTACTCTTAGGATACCTCAATACAAGTTCTACGAAAAAATGCCTTCGGAGCCCTTAGTTTATACAGCATACCATTTTACGTACAAAAAACAGTTTATGTGTAAATGATGTAAAATATGCAGTCTCAAACGGGAATTTTTCATGGAACTCATTTAGGGTATCAATTAATTATTGATGAAGTTGTGACCATGAGGTCACGGGTTCGAGTCCTGGAAACAGCCTATTGCAGAAATGTAGGGAAAGGCTACCTACTATAGGCCCAAAGTGGTCGGACCCTTCCCCGGACCCTGCGCAAACGGGAGCTACGTTCACCGGGCTGCCCTTTTTTGAAGTATATTAAAACTGATAAAAAGGTCTAATCGATGTATGTATGTGGTATATGTGGAGCGGGAGTACATACTCCCAGGAGTATCGTCATATATATAGGGTGGTTCTATTCTACAACCAGCCTTAAGACTTGTAGAATACCTATTCCGCAACCACCCCTCCTGTACCAGACCCGCACCTACACAAAACCTGGACATAGCAACTAAAAAAACACATCTCAATCCAGCTTCCTCCCTATGCCAACCACCCCAACCCGTCCCACCCCCGCCCACCTTCTTCCTCCCCGTGCCCAGCACCCCACCCGACCAACCCCCTCCCACCGCTCTTTCTCCCCGTGTCTCCTCTACCTTTGTCCGACAGCTGGATTTAGGGAGTGTGCTGGAGCATGCAGAAAAATGTGGAGGGAATTTTTTAGTGAGGCTCAGGGCATCGACACTACGCTTAGCAGACACTGAAACTTCCTTTCTTCCACTTCATCGGTGTATGATGGAACTCGGCATTTCACTTCATTGATTCAAGATGTTTATTGTTTGTTAAACATATTAAGGTTTTGTGTTTCTATGCTTTGTGTGCCTATACTTATGAATTCTTTTTTGTGTGTGAATGCAGTTTTTCATGGATGACTGCCTTCAACAACTCATGGATCGCGTTGATGCTGGTGAGGGCGAGCTTTTGAAAAACTTGATGCTCACTGAGAGACTATCTAGACTTGTTCGGATGAGGCTTGAGATGCAGACACCTTACATATCAAAGTGGCCTCAAGCGCTGAGTATTCAGGTGGCCCGTTGTCTTTCTTTCATTTCCTCCCCTCCCATATGTGTTTTAACTAAATTATTGTGTGATGGCTACATGCCCAATCATATAATTTGTTTGGCAGTCTCAACCAGCAAATGTCTCAACAAGCTTAAAGCAGAGAGCAGTCCTTGTTGATGAGATTTGGCATGCTGCTGGGGATTCTGGATCAGATATTGATTGGTATGTGAAACGTACTGTGCTTGGTGGCATCTACTCAGCCTCAGAGGTGTACATGTTAACAGATAATTCTCCAGGTTTGCACCTTTTCTAAGTTTAAAACCCATTTTTTTTCTACTTGACAATTTACTCTAAACCAACATTAGCAAATTTAGCAAAGCTTTGTGACCATGTATTGTTCTGTGTAATGAAACTGGAGTAAGCTAAGTTTGAGTTGAAACTGGCAGTTTGGAATTATTAAGCTTTTACACTTAACTAGTTTGATTATGAGTTGTTTTCGGAGCTATGCGACTCGACGCAATAGTGTATACATGACAAAACAAAATATCTGCAATTTCTCATGTTCTTAATAACTTATACATCCTCGTGTCTCGTGTCTTTGTCTGGGTTAGCCTGTAAGACACTTCATTTCTTTTAGTAGAAAATGCTGGTCTTCTGGTTCTTCAATCTTGAAAAACATAATGATGGAGAAACAGGGTAAGTGGCGAGGGTTTCTCCTCCCTCCCTCCGCCCCTCTTCGTCCTTCCTTTTTTTCTTGCCTCGTTTGATGTGTTCTGTGACATGCAAATCCATCTCAGATGATCTTCACCACCATCCTACTTTGGCAACGAGCTGAACCTAGGAGACGTTTGGTTCCAGAGAAACACCCCATACGTAAAGGCAGTATTGCGTTGGTACCGTAAATGTAAATGAACAAAATTCAAACTTGTTTGGTTGCCGGCAAGAAATCAATTCGTCTCTAGACAAGAAAAAGGCTAACAAATCTCAAAGGAGCAGCCATGGTGGCGCTCCTTGCCTCTGCGGGTCTGGACTCTGGCGTGGTCCTGATCGGAGAGACGGACTCCCGGTACTGGGGCACCAGAAGAAGGGCCTGGCGGCTGCTGCGCGGAGAGTATCTTCTGATCCAGATGGGCGGCAAGACAACTGTCCAGAACTGCGCCACACCTGGGACGCCGCTGATGCAGTGGGAAGTCTGGCGACCCATGGTGAAGCCTCTGCATTTGAGCCGTGTCACCTGGACGTACACCGGGGGCTGGTTGGCGACCATGGCTAGCAGCACACCCGGCGGCGATGCCCCTTAGACGTGGTCGTAGCCGATGAACTCCTCGAAGTACGGGAATGGCGGGTACCATGCGTCGCTGAGCTCGTTGACAGCGATGTCCGCGTCGGCCTCCACGAAAACCACGCCCTCCCTGGTGCAGTCCACCACCAGCTTCCGGCCAGCCTCCTCATGCATCCAGCTGACCAGCATGTACTAGTGCGACAGCGCCTCCGCCATGGGCGCCGACTTAGTCGTCGACGGCAACACATCCATCAATAGCGGACGTGGCTTCGCGGCGGCGTGTGGGTCGGTAGCAAGTGGCGCGAGAGGTGAGATCAAATTGTTACAGAGTTCGTGGCCCTTCATGCGAAGGTCATAGAGAAGACGACATTAGGGAGAAGCATCGTGCGACGGTTTCTGATTACATAGGATATTGGGCGTAATGAGATTACAACTAGGCTGGGACCTGGTACCGCGTTTTCTGATTAGAGCATCTACAGCCGGGCTCCCAAACCCGCCCTATACGGCGGACGGTCCGGTTCACAAAAACGTGACCCAGCCGGGCGCCTCAAACCGGCCCTATACATCTGGGCTGACCGGCAGCCCTCATGTCCAGCCCAAATCTGGGGCGGATATGGGGAGGCCCGGGCGCTTCCGCCATGTCGGATCCGGTCCACGCTGGCCCACCTCGACCCCACATATATTCGTCCCCATCCACATCCCAGACCAAACCCTAGCCACTCCACTGCACTCCTATTCACTCCGCCCCCAAGCTCCGTTCCGGCGATCTCCGGCCATCTTCGGCATGACGGGCAGCGGTTCCGACTTCGAGATCTCCCAATGGGTTGACTGGGATCTCATCCCATGCGGGCCTGAGGATGGTCGTCCGCATGGCTCTCTGCCATGCCCGGGAGGAGTTCGCTCGACCATGGTCGGACTCGATCCGACGGGAATCTGTTGCGTCCGTGCAAATGGTGCTTGGATCCCCTTCGAGGCGTGTGATCGCGGCCTCACCGGATGTGGTGCGGTCCGTTTGGTGCCCCAACCCCGGTTGGTGATGCAACCCCTTTGGTGGCGCGTCCCGCCGTCGCGTCCAACTCTGAGTCGGAGGTAAACGCCTACGGCCCATCTGTTGCGGAGGTGAGGCGTGCCCGCCAACTGAGGTAGAGGACGCTAGAGGCCGTGGCAGCCCTCGTGGCCGACGCCGCGGAGGCGAGTCGTAAGCCGCCGGCCAGGCGGAGCCGCAACGGGTGACCGGCACCCCCAAGCGCCGCAACGAGGAGGCCTCGTCCTCGTCCATCATCGATCTCACCTCAACCAGCGACGTCCAGACCACAAGCTCCGACATGGAAGAGTAGGGCATGGGGGACGATGGCGCCTCGTGTCCCATGTGGGCTAGTCTGTGTCCCCTGTCCTACTCTTCCTCGCTGGCCTACTCTTCCTCGTTGGCGATCGGTCTTCACTTCGTGGGTCACACGGCCGCTGGAAATGGGCACCGAAGGGAACAACAAGGACGTGGTGGATGGGTGCCGGCAAAGATATAGACTAGGTTTTACTCGTTGCATGTAATTGTATGGATTTGATGATTTTCTAATGAGGTATCCGGTTGTGGAAGCGGTTTTTTGAGGGGTCCGCGTATGTTTATGGGTCGGATTAGCTAGGTTTGGCTGTAGATGCTCTTACGGCCGAGCCAATCCAAACAAGAATAGACATTATCCTTGACCACCGTAAACATGTGACGTTACAAATCAGTGAATCAAGCACTTCCCTAGATTTATCTTAGGCGTACTATTGTACTAATATCCTAGACAACATATTACGTAATCCACATTTTCTTTTTTCTCAAAAAGAAAATTAATCCAATTTTTCTTTGTGCAACTGATTGGAATATAGACTTGTTGATGATTTCTCTTTTTTGTGGGCACTTGTCAGAGTTTCACGACACATGGACATTTGTGAATCGCGGCATCAAAGATGCTCTTGATTTGCAGAAATCTTATAAGGAGGTATGAGTCACTCAAAATCAAACTGTATAAGTTGTTATAGATTTTTGCCAACCCGTTCTGGCACTGTTAACCTTGTGATCTGACATAATCCTCTGTACAGGTCGCTTATCTAACCGAAACCCTGGGAGCAGGGATCGGTGGCTCCATACAGGGCGTCCTGAACAAGGTTTTCCAGAAATGAAGAAACTTGCCTTTGCAGGCTGCCTTCTCGGCATTTCCGCCACCACTTTCTTATGTCACGTTAAGATTCTATGACATTGTATATACTAGTACTCTCTTTTACAAACAAACGCTGTTAGGGTAGCCAAGAAGCTATTTAGTCGGTGGTCAGAGGTCAGAGGTCAGTTGAGTTGTTGATTAGTCGTCATTGCGCAATTCAGCTACAGGTTGGCGAAAAATGTGTGAACTCTACAGACTCTAGTCCATGTGTCATGCGTGGACCGAGTTACTGCAAACAGAACAAGACACTCGTGGCTTTGCATGCACACGACTTGGCATTTAAAACCTTGCTAGAAGGGTTGAGCGCTCTTTGCTGCGCTGATTGTGTTATTGTGTTTCTTCATAATTTTTACTTTTGTTTTAAATATAAGGTGTATAAGTTTTTTAAAAGGTTTTCTTTTTATTTACAATGCGGTGTTTTAGTGGGCTTTTGTGGTAAGATTTTGTGTTATCTGATAATGAAATCAACTAATACTTATGTGGGGATTTTTTTTCATCCATGGCTGCATGCACTATATTGATGTACAGTATCATATGTTGATGTTTCTTTTTTGTAGGTGATGAGATGGTGCGTGATATTGATATGTTTTTATAGGCTGGTTGTTGCCGATCAATTATAAAATTTAATGACCCGGTCAATATTATGAACCAAATTCAAAATTAAATACCTCAATTAAATGTGCAGTGAATTAAAAGAATTGAATAAGAGCGCTCCTTAAGAAATTGTTGACCCGATCAAAAATATGTGACCTAAATTTTTAAATAGAAAATCACAATTGATTGTGGTGCCTTAAAATTAGGGAGCATAGTGTATTCACTAGATGGGTTAGACGCGCTTTGCTGCGAGTTGGTGTTGGTGGGTTTTAAGATTTTTTTTACTCCTCTTGTCTCAAAATTCATGGTGATTAGTTTTTTAAAGGATCAAACCTCTTGAAGTTTGACCGAATTTACAGAGCAACATATCAATATCCATAATATTAAATCATATCATTAGATTCATCACAAAATTAATATTCATATTTTATTTAATTAGTATTGTACATGTCGATATCTTTGGCTTTGGACTTGTTCAAAGTTAAAGAAAAATCACTTCTGAAAAAATGAATACTTATATTTTAGAACCGAGGAAATATTTAGTTTGGTGTGTGGGTGAGATGATGGAGTGTGTTTTCTTTTTACTTATACTACGTTGTTTTGGTGGCATTGTGCGGTGTGATTCTACATTATCTGCTAATCAACCCAAAATTATACGAGGACATTTTCTCTGTTGGTGGATGCATGTACTATATAGGTGTTATAGTATCACATATTGGCCCTTCTTTTTTAGGTGATAAGAGATTGCACCGAGTTGATACGTTTTTATAAGCCGGTTGTTGCCGATTGATGACTCAGTTAAAATGTGAACCAGTTCCAAAATTGAATATATTAGTCGAATATGAGAGCTTCATAATTAAGGAGCACAAATAAAAATAAAATAAAAATTAAGATAGGGAACTCTTTGAGAAATTATTAACACAATCGAGTGTTCCATTTCTAAATTGAAGAGCTCAATTGGATGTGAGACTTTAGAAATTAAGGATCATAGTGCTATATAGAAGGTTAGAAGTGTTATGCGTCATTTGTGTTGTCCGGATTGTTTTCTTTGGCGTATAAGGAAGATGATAGAGTATGTTTTTTTTATAGTGCGGTGTTTTGGTAGGCTCTTCCTCGAGATGTGGTTTCGTGCCATATGAAGGTACCTCTGGCCACTGATACGCCGGAAACGTATTTATATTTTTTTTATCGAAATATGTATGTGGCAACCGTGTGACAGATTGCAAAACTGCCACACCATCTCATCAGCGTCCACGGGCACGATCCCACCTGGCAGCCCCGATCGAACCGCACCGTTTCGCTTCTCCCGCGCATGATCCCGCCTAGCAGTTCCGCTTCTCCCGCGTGCGCGATCGTGCGATCCTTTTTTCCTCTTCGGGCGAAAAAAATTAGCATTAAGTGGGGTTCGATCCCTCGACCAACAAGTTCTCATGTAGGCTAAGTACCACTGGGATAATTCCATTCGCATGTGCACAAGCAGATTAGCTAAGTATTCAGGTTGTCAGAGTTTAGATGGATCCAAACCAAGATTTGATTCATCTCATGCTCGCATAAATAGAAGAGACTTCACTCCAAGGTTACATTGGCGTGTGACACAACGATGGCCACGGCAGCGCCGAGGTGTGCCTAGGACTAGAAACCCCCTCCCATCCCCTTGGATTCGTCACCAATGGCGGCCCAGCCGAGCGACCCTGCGATCTGATGATTTTTGGTTCATCCGGGTTGTCGCGTAAGTGTCTTACTACTACCGAGAGATGCCACAAGTTCAGCAAGTCCTCTTGACCACATTTCCTGTTGGTTGAGACCCTCACAATCTCTCTCGCTCTCCAATTTCAGTGGACACACATGCAGTGTTTCAAACGGACGCCTGCTTCAGAGTTTCAGAGAAAGACTAAAGCAACTGAAAACAAAGAAGACAGTAGTATTTTGGTTCTGGGCAACACATGCCCTTTTCAGTACAAGGAATGCCTGAATTCTGTTTCCAACGGGTGCTAGTATTTTGGCTGCTATCTACCTGTTGCGTGCTTTATTAGTTTGCAAATTCCATGTCCGTGCTCCTTCATGCTACTACTATCTGCTGCTATAATTTTCGTGGAATTTACTCCCAATCTTTCTTTCTTGCTAAGAAAAAAGAGAAGGTAGTTTCCAAAAGAATGATCTTTTGTCGGGTAGGTATCTCTCTCACTCGCAGTAAACTGCCCCTTGAAAATGTTCCTTGCACTGATCCTGATAACGTAGGTACCATCACCACAGTAATTTTGACCCTAAAAAATTTGTTGAAAAATATAACCTCGGTAATTTTCTCAGTAAATAGTTGATAATATATGCACTACAAACTAGATAACTTACACACAAACACCACAGTAATTTTGAGTCGCGAGTAAAAAATGTTGAAAACATACCTTCAATAAATTTCGTGTAAATAGGACGGTCATATACGCATCATAGATTTGATACCTTATGTCTAAAATACCGCAATATTTTTTTGTTGGGTGGAAAAAAGTTGTTGTAAACATACAATGGTAATTTTTTTGTACATACCATGGTAATTGAAGCACTGCGGACCTGTTAAACGGCCTACAAAGACCATGATAACTTTTTGACCTTGGGAAAAAAATTGTTCAAACATACACCCGCTAATTTTTTAAAAACATGGTAGTATAAGCAGCTCATAACCGATAGCTTACATACAAACACCATGATAACTTTTGCCCCAGGAAAAGGTTGTTAAAAAATATACCCTCACTAACTTATTTGTGCATAGTATGGTAATATACAACTCAAAGACCTGATAACTTATATCCAAACACCTCGGTAATTTTAACTAGGAGAATAATTATTGCAAATTACCTCAACAGCTTCTGTGCAAATAACACGGTAATGTACGTCCAAACACCATGGTAATTTTAGATAGGGAAAAGCTTTATAGAATACTCGCGGTAATTTCTATGTAAATAGCATGGTAATTTAGGCCTCGCAAACATGATAATTTACTTACAAACGCTGCAGTAATTTTGACTAGGTGAAATTTATTGGAAAAATAACCTTTTTGAAAACATGGTAACATTGATCAGGGGACGGTTTTTGAAAAATACATCCCCGATAATTTATCTGCAAATATCATGGTAATATATGAAGCCCATACCTGATAATTTAAGTACAAACATGAAAAAAAGCTATTGAGAAACATACCCCAAAAAGTTGAGTGGGAAAAGCATGGCAACATTAAAACCTCGTACCTGATAACTTATATGCAAACATCATGATATTTTGCATCTGAAAAGGAGTGAAGAGTACGCCCGGGTTTGTGAACCGCGTGAAACGTGTAGAAAAAATGATAGAACTAGGACGCATTGTTCTAAAATCCGTACAAGTGAGGCTGCCGTTCGGATTTTCAGTTACTAATCACTGTCTTTTTATGTTTATTCTCGTCTCAGGAAGATACAACTAGCATGTAAGTTGTATGTAATCAGTTAAGTGGGCTAGTGCAGCTGGATGTTGCAACTTAGTTTTGTATGAGAGGGTCTTGGTTCGAATCCCGTTCAGCGCCATTTTTTGCGTATTTTAAACTACAGGCCCAAAAAAAACTAGAGAAGATGGGATCGAAGCAGGGCGGTCGCTCGGGAGGAGGTCAGGTCGAAGGGAGAGAGTGGTGTGGTACTTTTAGCAATCTGGCACACGTGTGTCAAATATCATAGTCCTTTTTTTATTGTTTTGTACTATGTTTATATCATTTTCACATGGTTTTGGCACCAACTTTCTTTTAACTAACCATTAATTGAGTTCTCAATGCCAATTGTTATTTTCTGTATGTTTTTGAACTTTTCAAAAAAAATAATTTTACGAGAGCTTCAAAAACTTTGAAATAACTCAAAGAACGCTTTTTTAATCTGGAAGCTCCCGGAGACACAAGAGGCGGGGACCCACATCCCTCACGCGCCCCACTTCGTGGAAAGAGGGTGGCCAACTGCCCCACGCGTCAGTGACCCCAAGTCCCCCGACTAGTCAGTGAATCTGAACTACTTATAGGGGAATGTTTATTAGGTAGCCCCTGGAGATATTTTCGTATGTAGGAAGCGGCTGTTCTGATCCCGAGCTCATATGAGCTCGGGTGAACAGTAAAATTAAAAAAAATTATTTTTTAAATAATTTGATTGTTGTGAAACATTGATAAATGTTTTGTTAGCTTGCCAAATTTCATCATCAGATGACATTCGTGGAAAATGTAGCAAAAAAAATTGATACTCCAAAATGTTATTTTCAAATGCATTTTGGAGCATCAATTTGTTTTTTTGCCATATTTTTCACGAATGTTAACATGATGAAATTTTGCATGCTATCATTTTTTTTTATATTTCACATGAAAAA